TCGAAAAGTTTTTTAGCTTGGTTAATTTTTCTTGCACTTTGCAATTTTTTATTTTATTTCATCCTGGCTGCTATTTCTTCATAATAATAAAGTTGCATAAACCCTGTGGTGCTAACTATCTGCGAATAAATGAAAAAATTAAATTTAAAAATTATGTTTACAAAATACAAAAGCATTTCCAAGGATTTAAGGATCTCTATTTTTTGAAGTTTTGAATTTGCCCTTTCGTTTTTTTGAAGCTTCAGGTTTAATCCTTGCGAGAAGTGATCTTATTTTATTTGAATAAAATAAAGCTTTAGTGGAACTGGAGATCAGTGAAATCCGATTTAAAATATGCGCGTCGTTATTTACTCATAAAAAAGTTTAAAAAAAGAAGTTTAAAAGTTTAAAAAAAGAAAAAGAGCATTATAAAAACTGAACATTGTAACTTATTTAGATTATAACTTGGTGAATTCAGAACTTGGTAAAATACTTTAAAATCACCAAAATAATATTTCCATAAATGATATTTGCTTTCTGGTTTTTTATTTCAAAAGTGAGATAAGTGAGATAGAATATATTTGGTAATGCGTGGAACTTTTGGTAAATAAATGTAGTAATAGAGAAAAATAGGATGGCAGGTCAATTGGCTTATTGAAGCCAAATTTATTTCTGGTTCGGTTCCAGTGGCTATTAAGATAAGGATGGTTGCTCAGTCACTTGGCAAGAGCATAAATAGCTTTTTTATTTATTAAAAAATTTCTAAATTTTTTTGCACAATTCAGTGAATAGCTTAACTTATTTAGATTGTAACTTGGTGAATTCAGAATAAATAATGAAAATATAAAATTGATGTCTGTTTAAATTTAAAAGCTTGGCAAATTCTTTAAAACTCCTATATGGGTGGTATTATAGATGAAAATCTAAAGTTGATTGCAATTCACCGTGCCCAATGTTCACTTTTTGTTCCAAATTTATGAACCGCAAAAAATCGTTTTTAGAACAATGCTGTCGGCATATTATTTTGTATTTTGCGTGAATTCTATGCGTTTTCGACCACCAATGTTTCACATTATTTAGGATTATTTTGAAATTGTGGAAAAGACAGTACACTAGAAAATCGAAATGGTAGTGGCAGATATTTAAATATGCTTATTGGTGATTAAACTGTGGAGCACAAAATCAAAATTCGCAACAAGAAACAAGAATTCTGATAGAAAAACCAAAATTGCCTTTCACTTGGTCATTTTATTGTTTCTTCTCTAGTTTATCTTAAATTTGACAAGTTCATTTCTAAAAATAATATTTCAATTAATGTTTTTTATTTTTGTAAAATAATAAAATTTTTTGTAAATCAGTCTTTAATCCTCCATTTTTTCTTCTAATCACTGTGTATTCATTTTTTATTTATTTTCATTTTTTTTATTTGATATTTATTTTGTATTTTGAATAATGTTGCTATTTTTATTTATAGCTGGATTTTTCTTTTTTTTTGCTGGCAAATAATTAATTGAATACATAATATATATACAAATAAGTAAATAAATATAGAAATACAATAAATATAATTGATATAAATAATTAAATAAATAATCGCCATTATGTTGTATCAAATAGGGAATATTCACGAAAAATTTTTAAATACACGCATTTAGCTAAACAAAGTATCGACTTGAATTTTCAATTTTTAGGACGATTTAGGCAAAAGCGAAGCGATTTTTTGATGATTAAATTAAAGAAATTTATTATTCATTTTCTACGATTAACCAGCCATTTCTTAGGTCGTATTTTTCAACAGCAGGTGCTCTTTTCAATGGTTTTTCATTGATAGTTCTACTATTGAAATCATTGCGGTTTGCTGTGCTATCATATTAGAATATTGTATTTTTTATGCCTAATCTTGCCTTATTTATAATCCTATTGTCATTTTGATTACATATTCCGGTTTTATTCATTTTTTTCGGATTTTTTACGAAATTTGACTGTAAAATTTATGAATTATTTCGTCTGTGCTATACAATTTTAAAAAAATGCATAAATGCTGTATCTCTGTCCATTCTTGCAGATTAATCTTCAAGCATTTGAGAGTTATGATTAATTTAAATTTAGCTAGGATTTACTATGTTTCGGGATAAAATTCTTTATTAAATGATAAATTGCGCGATCCCTTCCGGCTAATTCTGCAAGTTTTAAGGCATTAAATCTTTTAGCCTTTTAAAATTCGTCATCAGATCTAATGAAATTTCTCTGCCAAATTAAGAAAAAGCTGATTTTCGTTCCTTTTTCCAAAATAATTTCTACAATTATAAATTTTGATTTTGCAAAAAAACGTTATTCGTATATTTGCCGCCATTCTATTCCTGGTGCTTAGAGAATTTCTTAGATTTTTGATCTTTATTTAATAATTTTTGTAATTGATTCGAAAAAAATTCGTGAAATTATTCGTAAATGAAATGAAATTGTTATGAAATGTTTTCTGTTTCTGAAATTTTTACAATATAATATAAATCATTTAATAAATAAAATTTTATCTTTTTTGGCAAATCTTAAAAATAATTTTTTTATTAATTTTGCTTCAAAATAAATTAATAATCAAATTGAAAATTAAATTGCTTTAAAATTAATCCTAGAAAATTAGCAGTATTTTTAATAGTTAGCAGTATTAGCAGTAATATTTGTCTTTAATGATTGAATATAAAGTGCCATTTTTTGTGGATTGAATCGAACAATTTTTGTCAAATCATTTATTGCAATCTTTTTTCTTCGCTTCTTGCTATTCATCTTCTTTTTGTTTTAATCTCAAAAAAATATAAAATAAATTTTGCTTTTTTTAAATACCTGTTGAATTTGAGAGTTTTTGTATAGTAAAATAAATATTTAAACAGCATTTCACCATCTCATTTATGGCGTCAATTATTTTTTTGGCAGCATATTTTGTAATAAAATTTTCTTCAAAAGATCTCTTGAGACTAATTTTCTTTCCAATATCCTTCTGAAATTTGTAATTTTGCAACAGTTATTTCGTTGTCCTATTGTCTTATCGCTTAAATATGTTGCCATCCACACTGTGGGTTGGTTAAATTCTTATATATATTAAATTCTTCCGCAAAATGGAAAATTCTCTATTATTTTCACTAATATGCAATATTTTTTGTCGGGGATTATTTGGCAATAAGAAATCCAAGTTATTTTGAGATTTTAAGAAGCTATTGTTATTGAAATAGGAAATAAAAAAGCGAACCTTTCGAATTTCACCATATTTTATTCGATAAAGTTAATTTTATTTTTTCAAATTTCAAATTTTTTTCAGGATTTTTTCGTCATTGTATTAATTTTTTCACGACTGTTTTAATTGCTAAGCTCCTTTGCATTGCCTATTAGGCTCAATCCTCTAATAAAAATGGTTTCAAAAAAATCGCGAAATTATGGAACCAATTATTTTTAGACATAGCACATTCATTATTTAGGGTTTTCTAATATGATTACTATGATTATTGTTACGATACCTTATGGCGTTACATGATGAATTAATTAAACCATAAATCTTTTCTATATGTTCCTATCAATAATCTACATAATAAACTTTCTCGATGCCATTAAAGCCTCACTTGTCAAGTTTATTGTTTTAGGTATTTATTATTTTTATAGATATATTTCAGTAGAATATTTATGTATATATATATATATATATATATATAAAATTACCTATTCGATTAAATTTTTGTATTAATGCAGTTTCGATATAAAGTCGTGCTTTATATTGGATATCGAAAAACGCGATCGTTATAACCTTAATCCGTTTAATTATAGATACGACTTTTCTCATTGAGAATCTATGTTGTGTGATCAATGTGCTCATCAACGACATAGTATCTTATCTCAACAGTTTATTTGTAATTGGTTGCGTAAAAAGAAAAAACCACGTGACGTTGCCGAATTTGAGATTTCCTCAACACAATTATCGAGCCACCACAGTGGCATCGAAAATAATTTCGTTGAAATTATTCTTTCTTTTTGGATTACCCATTTTAATAGGTACGTTCTTCTCATTCACCCACTTACTTAGTATAATAAAGCATTTCTGTACTTCTTTGCCAGTTTTTGTTTTTAAACGCATCAAATATTTTTGTCGGCTAGTTTTTTACGTGTCTACTTACATCGGAAATTATAAGTCGTCCTTAGACTTAAAAAAAATGACCCTATTAGAATAATTTATCAAAATGTTTTAATTCTAATATGGCGAGTTCTTACAAGGTCATTCTCTCTCGTCAATCTTTTTTTCGTATTTTTATCATCAATATCTTTTATCGTAAATAATAATTTTTCATGTGAAAGGTAAATATTACTATTAATTGATTGTTGTATTTATCTACTTAATCAAGCAAAAAGTTTGGTTGAACTTATTAGAAAAAAGTTTCCGAAAAAGTATTCATATTCTGTCTTATTCATAGCTCTAGGAAAAAAAACATTATATATAAATGGAAAATCCGATATTCCATTCCCCATTTCCACGAGTTTCCCTAGATGTGAAGTAAAAGATGTGAATAGACATTAAATGCTTCACCTTTTTTCTACTCCTAGTTTTGCAAATTGTTTATGGTAAATAAACTGTGCAACTATGCACCGAGTGGGTGACCAACATTTTTGAATAAAACTGATTATCGAAAATGAATGGTATAATATTTAAATATCACACTTGATTTATTTGAATATATGAAAATAAAAGGATTTAATTCTTTACAAATCCCCTTATCAGTCTATTAATAATATATTGTAAATATAATTCCTGTAAATCCTGTATGTTATAATGTTACAGCAAATAAATATTAGGATATTAGTCTATTTCTTCCATTCTTCTACATATTCATCGGTATTTGATCAATGATTTGCTGGACCTTTAAAACCCTTCTAGCTTGAAATTTAAACCTTAAAGCACATCAGCATCAAGGCAATACTCCGGAAAACCTCGGTGAAGACATACATCTTTTAAATCTTTTAAATCTCACTTTATTCTGAAGGATATGAGTCAACTGCTGAAAGGTAAGTGTAGGAAAAACTAAGTAATAAAAAATTTATATTACCATATGTAAATTTATTTTCGAAAAGATAGGTTAGAATAAAAAGGGATTATTAATAATGGATAATGAGGCTAATTCTAAGGCGAAAGAAGGAGAATCTTCAAAACCAAACTTGTCATTTCATATCCCCTCAAAAACCATTATTTTCCCCAGCATTCATTTGAACTCTGTTAAAATGCATTTATTAATTCTCCATTATTATCCTTTAGTAGCAAGTTCACTTTTTAATAGCAAGTTTTTAATAGTTCATTTTTCCTCAATGTCAATTTGCATTTAATTTCAACTTTACAATTTACAAATTTATAACTTAATAATTACGTAATTAATATAATTATCAATAATTGCTTTTTAAATCTATAACGAAATAGGATGCTAAGAGATATAGTGGGACTGAGTGGTGCTAATGAACCGCAACTGGGTCCGAGGAGAGTGACATGAAAAGATTTTGATATTGATCACGAATTATTAAAGGATATTTATGACAAAAAAGAATAGATATTATAAGAGGAATTTAACAATCCATACAGATTTTGGGAATATCAAAAGGTTTAAACTGATTATAACGAGTTGAGAATTGGCGATCTGAGGATTTTTTCTTTCTAGATATTAATTTAACAGATTATTATATCGAGTGCGGTTATCATTTTGAGTGAGTGAGTGAGTGAGTGAGTATAAAATTAGAAATTTTTCTATAAATTAGCGGGCTCCAGTGGCTACCAGAGTAAGACCGTCCCATCTCTCGGTCCGGTGTGGTGCTTAAATTAATTGAAACCTGCATCTCTTTTAGCTGCCGAAGTTTTTAAATTGCTAGGTCATTTATCCATTTAAAAAATTATAAATTATACTACACTCTCGTATATTGTAATACGAAGCATATTTTCTTAGTTTATTTTGGTTTTTAATCGTTTTTTTTTCGAGTTTTATAGAAGTTTAGTTTTCCTATGTTGAGAAAAGACTATTTTTTAGCACATATGTTAAGAAAAAAAAACCTAACAGTCACTTAATTAGTTATTTCAAATGAAAATTTTCAACATGCATCTGTCGTTTTCCATAAAATTGACAATTTCATCGATTGCAAAATTTTTCTTCAAATTCTATGGTCTTTGAATGTTTCCTATAAAAGTTTTTTCTGTAAAAATTTTGCCCTTAAAAATAATTTTTTGTTAATAGCAAGTATTTTTTCATAGGTGGTTGCTCCACGAAACCTCGAAACAGAGGAACCGTAGCATCGGCTCGATTTGCTGATCTTCAAGACTGTGATGATAGATTTGAAGGATACTGCCATAATAGTGGTATTTGCAAACTCACATATGACATTGCCCATCGTATCATTCCCATTTGCTCGTAAGTTTTTTTGAAAAGCTCTCATCATTCCTGCTTATGCTCACTCCATTGGTTTGCTGGACCAGACAAGTTTTAACTTGGATGGAAACATAGATGGATTGCTAGTATCACTAGTGTCATGTTATTTTTTGAAGGTCATGCTTGTTTCTGTCGAGAAGATGAGTTATAGCATCTCTGGCGCTCCCTCATGAGAGCGACTCATTGATCCATTTTACAACTGCTCACAGCTATCATTTACAACATTCCAAAATCTCTCTATAAACATTGTACCCATTTTCACCCATTAAATGAGGTTATAGAATAAAACTAATTTAATTAACTATTTTTGAATGAATGGAAAAAGAATGAATATGCATTCATTAACAGAATTTTAATTAATAAAAGTGATTATTAATTATGCAGCCATATTTTCTTTCATCAATTCGTTTTACAAGGACATCAAAAATTACGCAAATTTGTTAGAGATAGATGAAGCCGTTTGCATTTTTGGATCTGAGATATCAGTTTATTGTTTATGATGATGTGAATAATACTCTTGAATATAGTTTTGGATAATAGCAGGAAGAAATATAGGTTTTTAATTCTAAAAATATCATTTTCCTAAAGGTTGGTCATGAAGAAAAGAGTTTTATAAGAACTTTAAATGATTATCACTAAATTTAATCGAAATATAGGAAATTAGGAAAAAACCACAATAAAAATTGCTTGTAAAATTGCCTTCTGACTTTATATTATGTTTTTAGCCAAAGCACAACTTTCAGTTGCCCAACGGGTTTTCGCGGTAAACAGTGTGAATTCATAAATGACCCGAATTACTATTATTCTAAACAAGAGAAGAATGAAATTGGTATGACAACAGCATTAAGTCTTCTTCTCATCATAATACTCGCAATTTGTTTTGCATCATTATGTTTATATTTATATCGAATGTAATTTTTCCATTATTTTACTTACTTGATGGGGATTTAAAACAAATATTCATGAAGATTTCAAATTCTCTTTTTATGATTTTCATGGAAAATATAGTGGAAAACATAACATAATTTTAAAGCATTCTTCTTCTTCTAACAGCTCTCACCATCACTGGTTAGGCTGGCTCCAACGGCTACAAGGGTAATACGCTTTCAAGTGACGCGGTCTGATGCTATCGTCGACAGTAGCAGAAGTCATTCCTTTTTCCATCGTCTGAGTCCATATATTGCTGGCCCACCTATACGCTCAAAATCTAAAGCAATCTAAAGCTGCGGTTTTTAGTTCAAAAGATATTTCGCTTTTATTTTCTGAAATTGCTATATTGTTATTAACTAATAATTTATTAAAGATATGTTAAAAGTTTTATGCGATCAGATAGTGATAAATCATTGCATTCCGTGGATAATGCGGAAAACTGGCAAATTTACTCAGATAATCGTCCCAATTATCAAATTTAAATGTTTAGTCCAGGTTGTCTCAATAATTCCTAAAATATTTCGCGAACAAATATGCAATCAAAATTTCTAGACCTGAGAATATTACTTTTATAAATACTCGTCATAAAGAGTTTGTTTCTTGAATATTTGTGAATAAATTTGGCACAATCATAATTATAAACTGTAGATCTATTATAAATATTTAGAATAATTTAGATATAATTTAGAATAATTTAAATAAACATATGCAGAATAAAGTATTATAATTTTAGCACGGCTATAACACTACAGTTGACCAAGATTATTTATCAAATATGAATTCAGTCCAAAAAATATATATTGAAAACCGTGATTCGACCAGTTTGCAGACAGTTACTCTATCTAAATCCAGTTTAATACCGATAGAACAATGGTATCTGGATATTCGAAATCTGAATTCTTCATTGACGATGTCTGAAAAGAAAAGTTATCAACTAGATTTCCATCATCAATTTCATTATAACAACAGTATAACTTCAAGAATTTTTTTGTTATAAAAGGCTTTAATAGAAATATTTGTATATTCAGTTAAAAGCATACTTAAATTCTCAAATAGATTAGAATAGGAAATATATGAAATATTCTTATTTAGTAAAAATGAAAACTATGGTCGATTTAATTCATCGTGCTTTTTTTAAACTGTGAATCCTTTCCAAGTTTCTTAGCGACGTTTTTTCATAAAACGGGTATTTGATAAGCTACTTATAATGCTCAATATGCGATATGTAAATGACAGCACTAATTGTGAACCTAAGTAATGGGATTGTCGAGTTGCCGAGAAATTAATGCTTATTGTTGTGGAACAAGAGTTTGTTTTGTTTATATCTAAATTTTAAAAAGGACATTTCCTTTATTAACAAAAGCTGTGAATTTTAAAAAACTTTCGAAACTAACTGCTTATATTTGTCAGTTGTTCATAAAATTTTTTGATTTATTTGTTTATTCTTCGAAGTTTTGAAATAAATTGTATAGAATAATTTTTAAAATGCTTTGAATCGAGCCAAAAATTTGCTGAAACATATCAAAAATTTTATTGCCATTCTCGAAGAAGCAGGATAAAGAATGTTTTTCAGGTTTTCTTTTTGTTGTTTCAATTTTTTTCAGAAGCATTTCGTTAATTTCCTTAAAAGACGTTTTGTACTGAAAATTAATTATCGGTTCTCATAATCAGTAAATTTTTTCTCTAGCAATTTAAAATATATAAAATATGTCGTTGGAACCAGAAAAACATTATACATTCTTCTTATAAAACATTCTCAAAATTGTGGCAAAATGTCGTATTTAAGTGAATTGCATACAAATAGTTACCAATATAACTATTAACAAAACAAGGGGCAGAGTAACTGAATGTCATTTCGATACCTTATACTCATCACACCTTATCACCTTATTTTAATTTCTATCCAAAGCAGGAGTAAACCTTTAAAAAAATCTAGGTTTCGGTCCCCAAATCGTTGCTTTACAGGTGTCAAAAAGTATTCAAAAACTTTATTTCGTTTTCATCAAATTAGATTTTTATATAGTTTGATTGTTCGCTGTTGCTCATGCGCCTTAAAATATTATCTTAGAAAAATAGACAAAATCTTCCATTAATATTTAAATTTAATAAGAGTGATGAGTAAGTGAAACCTCCAATTATTATTACATAATTATTACATAACTGAAAATATGAGTTGAATTATGAATAGAACCATTTGTGAATGAATAAATTGGTTTGGGCAAGTAATTTTTTTTTTTTTTGTTTTAAGATAACTTTTTATTTTAGCGAAAGAATGATTCTATTTATTGATATTTTATTCACTTGGCTATCTTCTAAATATTTAAATGATGGATTTTTCACATAACACTTCTGGCATTTGCTATATGAATTGTAAAATTTTTTTTGTATATTTTCCATCTTTATTCTTTATATACTTTTTTAAATATATTTTATTCTTTTTATTGGAACTTTCTATATGCTTTATAAAAATTTGGAACTTTTTTAGACTTAAATTCCATTCATAAAATATAGGTTTTATAATCGTATTAGCATAAAAGTGCACAATGTCCAATGCACACCGATTAGTGATCAATTAATTAATTTTTTTTTAAGAGCACTTACCACTGCTGGTTAGGCTCGCTTGGCTAACTTGTCGCATCAGACCAATTCTGTTAATGCTTGGCGATGATACAGGTGAATTGTTAGTCTCATAGAATCATCTTTCCGAAGAAAATTCGTTTACTCCTGCCTGGCATAATATTTCCGTCACTCTGAGCAATAATCCACTAATTTACTGTATTCCTAATAAATTAGTTATTACTGACTTAAGAATTAATAATAAACAAATTAGATAATAATGACCTAAGAAATATCGTTCATAAGTAAATATAAATTTGTTTAAAAATCAACTTTTAGAAATGAAGTGACCACAATAATTTGTCTTCAACCAAAAAACTTTAATTTCAATGGTCAATGACCAATGATTAGCTAAACTCAGCAATTAATAATATATGTGGCACGTAGGGTAATTAGTAAATCTCCAGAAATTAATAAATGTCGCAAAAAAGAAACGTTAGATTATGATCGAGTAAAATGGGCAAAATATAATGAGAAATTAGGATGTTGAAGAAATTATGTAACAGCGGTGAAATGTTAAAAACAAATAAAACAAATAATAAAGCAAATCTTTCAAAAAATGCGTAATACATTAGAATGATTTAGCTTTTCTAATTTCATTTTGTATTTTTATGTTAAAATACCAAAACAAAACAAAAGCAAATGACCATTTTTCATTTTCATCATTGAATATCAATTACTTGATGCTTATTTACTCCAATTTTTCCGCTTATTATTCATTTAAAATTTTTTTACACATTCATTTATTCAAACAAGGACCGGCTTTACTAACACTGCACAACAATGAAAACAACAGGAGAACGATGATTATCGGAGAATATAAAATATCGAAGCGTAGTAACACGAAATGAATCCCTTTGTTTATAGATCCACTCTCGAAAACCGTTTCAATCATTTAGCAATCCATGCACTGGAATACATTTAATTAATAATTTTTCAAAATTAAGCATAAAATATATTCTATACTATTAGTTAATTTATTCCGATAATTACTTATTATAAATGGAAAAATCAACTTAATTTTGCATGGATTTCGATAGATTCAAGCTGTTTAGATCGCTTTGCATATTCATGTCGAAGTATTCTAACATGGTCACATAAATCTTGGTGCCCTTGTTCATTTTTTTCAACTATAATGAATCTAACTTAAATCTTGTAGTTTTGGCCTACAATTAATTGCCAGGAATGAATGAATAAAATTGAAACGAGTACCAAAGTATTTCTGTAGTCCTCTAATAAATTTATTTATGACATCCAGGCGAGCAATAGATTCTATTCTAATATTCTTCTCACCTAAGCCATATATTTCAAAAATACATTCTGGCTGCAATATATCCGCTTAACACCTCTCAAATCTCCTATAATAATCATTTAATTATTTGACAAAAATTAAAAATTTTATCTTCAAATGAATCGCTTATATTGGATAAAAAAGAATCTTACAACATGTCAATAATTATTTATAATAAGATTAATAATATTAATAATAAGATTAGAATTAATTAATATAATCCAAATTAACGTAATTTTGGCAAAATATAATAGAAATAAATGAAAATAATGAGTGCAACAGCACGGATGCCAATGACGAATAAAATGAGCACCATGAGACATAAGGCGAGGTATGGTCTTAAACTTAAAAGCAATCAAATTATAAGCATTCGCCACAGAACTCTTTTGAAGAAATTAAGAAGTGAAGGTCAAGCGGAATTTTATGAATAAACAGAAATTAATTGGTTTCATGGATAAAGGCAGATTCAAATTTGACCTTAGCAACCAAACCAATTAATTAATTCTCAGTCAACGGCAACATCATAATTTTATGTTTTTCGTTACCTTTTATGATCTCAGAATTTTTTGGCACCTTAATACCCTTCAAGCATTTTCTCTATTTCCTCAACAACTTTGTTACTTCTTGACCTCGAATATCTTTCCATATTTCTTCAAACCGTGCGATTTGTAAAATGCCAATGGTCGGACTTGGAGCTACCGCAGAAATCTCGAGAAATGTAATTAACATAAAAGTACCGCACAAAAATCTTTGCCCATCATTTTTTAAACACTCTAATCCTCTTAAATTATCATTATCATTTTATTATCATTTCTTCAGACTTCGTTATTTCGCTCTTAATTTTTCCTAGACTGTGAACCAGACTTTAATCCTTCCCATCTAAACCATAATTTTTTTGCATCCTGGCTAATGATATATCCACTTAACACCTCCAATATCCTTTCCTATTTCAATGCAATTATCACTATATCTTAATGATCATTGGTATAAAAGTTCTACATTTTTTAAATTATATTAATTTGCTGGTGCTCGCCATTTTTCGTTACCTTCGCTATGCTAACTATTAGTCCGATTGGAA